ACCGATTTTCTGCATCGTTAACCTCTCTCTGATCGTACCCATATTCGCTGACAAACAAAGGAAATGGGTTTGGTCCTTCTCTAACAAATTCAGCATGGTCTACAAAGCCATTGATAATATCTGCACAAATATTATTTAGTGGCTGGTTTATAAATTTACTCTCTGCATCTCCACTGAACGAATACAAGTGCACCTCAAAAACCAACTTGTTGTCTAAGGCGCTTGCATTCAAGGGCTTCTCTTTTAAGCATCGAAGATCATTATCAAAATTTAGGCCCGAAACAATCACTAAAACATTTGGGTTAATGTTGTGGATTGTTGTTACTCCTTGAGTAACATAATTGTTCCAATCATTTGCATTTTCATTGGTTCCTCGTATCTCGTTTCGTAGGCTCATTCCAACCACCTAAATGTCATAACAAAAGAATGTTCTTTTGTTAGTGAAAAATTATAGAAGTCTTTAAATGTTTGAGTTTAGTTTCAAGAGTGTGAGAATTTTCCTTAATTTTTACGTACCGTTGGTTTCTTGGAAAAGCGTTGAGCAACTAAGCTAAGACCTTGTAGCCATTCTTGAGGGTCAAAATAGCGGTCTCCAAAAAATCCATTGCCATCGTCAAGGGAGCAACACCATCTTGGCTGACTCATATGGTTGTCGGCAATCACCATTAAACCACTCTCTCCAAGCACATCAACAACAGCTTCATAGGCTTCAGCAATAGTCTTGTTCAACACAAAAGGATTATATTGAGCCAATCCGGCTTTTGCTTGCTCTAAATCGAGAAGGTCAAAATTCTCTTCAACTGTCCTATTTGCATAACGAGTGAACATTTGAGTTGCATACGTGAGTCGTACACAATTAAACCTCAACTTGATTGCCTCATCTGCCAGCTCTTTTAATGGCCTGTGGTTGAGACCTTCTATTAGCATGCTCTGTGTGTGGGAAGGCCAATTCACGCACACAAGCTTCACTCGACGCCCTGTTGTCGAATCAACGATCCACCTTCCGTTTGTTGACAACGGTAAAGAATAAACAGAAGGAGGTAGAAGCACAAACAATGCTAGAAAAAGAACAACTTGAAAAGTTCTTCCCATTTTTTCTTCTCTTTTATGAATCGGGGTGAGAGAAGCATAGCCCAAAGGTTGCTTATATATCTCATAAATAGGTTGAAATTTGTTCAAAAGATCAAAGATCCATGTAACCGTGAAACTCCTTCCATTTTTCTTAATTCAGTTGCTTTGTTAATAAATTGTGTTTCCACCTTTGATAACTTGTTGAGTAATAAGCAAATTTTTCTAACAAAGCTAGCAACGTTCATACATATCTTGCCCACAGAACCAATATTTTAACATTATGGCCCCTTTTTCTTAAGTAAAACTCGAAGCTTATTCCTGTCTCAAATTAAAAGTTAAAATAGTAGCTAACTACGTTTATGATAAGTTCTTATATAATACCCCATTACATTTTTTTTGAGTTGGAGACATTTTCCCACCTAATAATTCACAAATGCATAAAATTATTTTAATAATCTAAATTAATAAAAATAAAATAGTTAACCTATCAAATTATTGAAAATATTTTATTTATACACTTTTCATACAATACTATGCATTTATTAATTTATTTATTTAGATTATGGTTGTCCGTCTCCAATTGCATATTTAAAAAAAGATTTAAACGAGACTAGCACAAGCTAATATATATATACATATATATATTCTAGGGGAGAGAGTAGAATATTCTAAACGTTGAATTTTGATGTCGCATATTTAGAAGGTCCAAAGCATATAATAAATAAATTAAGATTGCTTTGTCTTTTTTACCGTAAACAATTCGACGTGTAGTTTGGCTATTCGATGAGTAGTTTGGTAAGAACTTTTATTATGAGCCTCGATGCCCTCGCTTGGAAAATGTCACCTTTTGAATTTGATTGTGTGGAAGGAGAAAAAATGAAAGTCTATAATTTTATGTCCCCACTAATAAAAATAAATTGGCCATCTGGCCTTCTTTTTTCAAACAAATTCTCTTCTTTGGAATTGATGGCGGGTTAATGTGAAGTTTAAAAAGTCACGTCGTTAAACTCAGGGAAACTTTTGAAGGGACGACCCATTACACCGAACTGGTTTTGGATTAGTGGATCATTCTACACTGTTTGATCAAGCTTTTAGGGTCGACCAAAATTGTAACGCGTCATGTCTAGGATAGATCAAGATTTGTAATCCAGATTCGATACCTGATGGCTCTGAATCTTTGACATGAGACGATACAAATTGTATTAGAGCGGTATCTCTCCCAGTAAGATGTGGTTTGAAAACGAACTAATGTGAAAGTTGGTAGGTATGTGACACCCGAGCAAATGAGGGGTACATGAATGAATCGAAACCACTTCCAAACGAGAGGGATCGTGAGGATATGATAGCTAAGAAATACTTTAGAACATGGATAGTCACTCCATATACCAATAAGGTTCATTTTCCTTTTCGACAGCACAATTATAAGAACTTCACGGTTAGGTATGTTTTGCTTGGAGCAATTCTATGATGCACGTAACCTGTGGAGAATTTTTCAAGGACGCATGTGAGCAAGGAAAAAAACATGCAGGAAGAACTCGAGTTAGTTCGTGGGAATAGCTTTCACTCTTAGAAACAAAGAGTAGGCAACGTGACCATGTCAAATCCTAGACATGAGTCGTTACAAAGGTTTGGGAGTCACACTCACTCATGGTCAAACAAATTCACTGTCGATCCAACGTACTAATATAGTTACATAAGCAAAGTAAAAAGTAATATAATCCAAAAAATGTATAAACAACCTACGTACCATAATTAAAAATTTTAATACTACTCGTAATTCAACACTACGAACCTAATAGCCATTTGGTTTCAAATTCCTCCCATAATTCTTCATTAATCATAAATTTTTACATGCTTATCACAACCTTCCCTTTTAGTCATTTGGGTTTTAGTATTGAAAGTAGATGAGCAGTTCATTTTTACCTCAAACCTTTTCTTGATGAAACCAACTATTTTGACCCTTCCTGGCATTTTCGTGTGCCTACTGATATTCAAACCTCCCGACTTCAAATCCTCCATCAAACTCAGACCCTCATCCATTTCCTCCGCCTCGATCTCCACCGTCACATTCGTCGCCATCGTGTCCTTTGCCTTCGTCAATCCGCCGGCGTCTCCCCCTCTCCAATCACCTCGCCGTGGTAGTAAATCACCGTCGTGGCTTTTGAGTATTTGAGCGATGCGACATTAGGATTCCGCACGAAGAAACTAGCCACAACGAGTATGCCACCGTCTGAGAAGGAAGAATGGTGAGTTTTAAATGATTATTAAGATAATTAGATGAAAGTTTTGGTGTTATGGATCACTCATGGACTAAAGATAGTACCCCCAACACTTAAACAAATGCTTCCACTTAATCGAGAGAGTGAATCAAGGTTAATTGGTTGCTTCTCAATCTAACCCTCCATTATAACAAATCAAACATTTATATATTTCTTTAGTTAGAATTTGAAACTAAAGCTCGTTTCTTGCGGATCCAAATTCTAAAGCACCAATACCATACATAATGCTACATCCCGTATCAGGGCAATGTGTCAAATCCGAGGATAAAGGAGAAGTTTAACTCGGCGATTGTGCCACTCCGAACCAATGGAACCATAGTGCAGATGCAAGTCCGATGAAGTTGTTGTCCTACGGGCAGCGTTTGAAATCCGTCGGAGATGGAAAAGCACCGGTGGTATCCGACGAATGCTCTGGTGATGGAAGCAATTGGACGGTGGCTTCGAAAGCAAATCTCCAATTGGCGAAGACCATTTTTGCTTGGAGAAGGAATCTGGTACTTCAGTTGTTGTGAAGAAATGCATTTGCTTTAAAGACGAGGGAAGTTGCATGGATGATCCTCAACCCCAACGGTTCAAACTTGTTCCAACAAATGTTGCTTGGTTTATTAATTAGTTTAAAATGGGAATTGAGAATTTGGTCCAATATACTAGTAGTTGTTGGAATTTGAATTTAGTGTTGGCAGGCAAGTTTTGAAAATGCCGGAGTCATATTAGGGTTGTCGATTTTATGCTTAAATTCGTAGTTAAATGGTCAATAATTTTTTTCTATTGTTTATTATATGTCCAATCTTTTATACGATCATTATTGTTCGTATTATTTTCCGTATATGTTTGTACGATAAATAAAATCGGTTATAATTAAGCACGAGCATGAATAGAATTAGAGATAAAATAGGGGCCAATTCAAAGTCGGGCATGTCATATATTTATTCTTCCCAATACATAAGCAACTCACAATGTGTTGGTTTCAACGAGTTCAAACCATTGACTTTGGGTGTCTTCGAGGCAAGTTGGAGCACCATCAGTGCAAATACAAGAGTTTGTCACAATTTTTGAAGAATTAGAGTTTTCAACCTGCAAGCAAAGGCTCTTCCCATCTTGAGTTATGGTGGCCAAATGAAGCTTAGTGTTTGAAATGGCTCTCCAAGAACTCTGAGGGCCGAAGCAATCTGTTGAGAGAGATGGCATAAGGCCTTCTCCGCTTGTTTTTAAGCATAAACCAGTGCTTGACATCCTAATTGGAGTGCTATCATTGTCATGAGTCCATCGACCTGAGTTGGAGCAATTACCCATGAACATATCTTTGTTGTCATTTGAGACTTGGATGCATTGGCCACTTTGTGGATGATATATAACATACGAGAACGATGCATTGGAATTTGGATCTGTGCGCCGTAAAAAAATGTCTTTTACACTTGTTATAGATCCATATATTCAAAATCGTTAATATATTTTACTTACCTTGCAACATAGTCTGCAATAGTTGAAACTTCCGGACAAAGTTTGGATTTTTATTTTGAGTCCAATTGGAGTCGAGAACTCCAAAAGTTTCTGCCGGGCCTGCCTGACCTTCCCTATAATAATAGCTACCTTGCCAAGTCCATAATGCCCAATCTAAATCTTCTTGTGCAAGATGAGCTGTGAAGCAACTCATGAACCGATTTTCTGCATCGTTAACCTCTCTCTGATCGTACCCATATTCGCTGACAAACAAAGGAAATGGGTTTGGTCCTTCTCTAACAAATTCAGCGTGGTCTACAAAGCCATTGATAATATCTGCACAAATATTATTTAGTGGCTGGGTTATAAATTTACTCTCTGCATCTCCACTGAACGAATACAAGTGCACCTCAAAAACCAACTTGTTGTCTAAGGCGCTTGCATTCAAGGGCTTCTCTTTTAAGCATCGAAGATCATTATCAAAATTTAGGCCCGAAACAATCACTAAAACATTTGGGTTAATGTTGTGGATTGTTGTTACTCCTTGAGTAACATAATTGTTCCAATCATTTGCATTTTCATTGGTTCCTCGTATCTCGTTTCGTAGGCTCATTCCAACCATCTAAATGTCATAACAAAAGAATGTTCTTTTGTTAGTGAAAAATTATAGAAGTCTTTAAATGTTTGAGTTTAGTTTCAAGAGTGTGAGAATTTTCCTTAATTTTTACCTACCGTTGGTTTCTTGGAAAAGCGTTGAGCAACTAAGCTAAGACCTTGTAGCCATTCTTGAGGGTCAAAATAGCGGTCTCCAAAAAATCCATTGCCATCGTCAAGGGAGCAACACCATCTTGGCTGACTCATATGGTTGTCGGCAATCACCATTAAACCACTCTCTCCAAGCACATCAACAACAGCTTCATAGGCTTCAGCAATAGTCTTGTTCAACACAAAAGGATTATATTGAGCCAATCCGGCTTTTGCTTGCTCTAAATCGAGAAGGTCAAAATTCTCTTCAACTGTCCTATTTGCATAACGAGTGAACATTTGAGTTGCATACGTGAGTCGTACACAATTAAACCTCAACTTGATTGCCTCATCTGCCAGCTCTTTTAATGGCCTGTGGTTGAGACCTTCTATTAGCATGCTCTGTGTGTGGGAAGGCCAATTCACGCACACAAGCTTCACTCGACGCCCTGTTGTCGAATCAACGATCCACCTTCCGTTTGTTGACAACGGTAAAGAATAAACAGAAGGAGGTAGAAGCACAAACAATGCTAGAAAAAGAACAACTTGAAAAGTTCTTCCCATTTTTTCTTCTCTTTTATGAATCGGGGTGAGAGAAGCATAGCCCAAAGGTTGCTTATATATCTCATTAATAGGTTGAAATTTGTTCAAAAGATCAAAGATCCATGTAACCGTGAAACTCCTTCCATTTTTCTTAATTCAGTTGCTTTGTTAATAAATTGTGTTTCCACCTTTGATAATTTGTTGAGTAATAAGCAAATTTTTCTAACAAAGCTAGCAACGTTCATACATATCTTGCCCACAGAACCAATATTTTAACATTATGGCCCCTTTTTCTTAAGTAAAACTCGAAGCTTATTCCTGTCTCAAATTAAAAGTTAAAATAGTAGCTAACTACGTTTATGATAAGTTCTTATATAATACCCCCACTACATTTTTTTTGAGTTGGAGACATTTTTCCACCTAATAATTCACAAATGCATAAAATTATTTTAATAATCTAAATTAATAAAAATAAAATAGTTAACCTATCAAATTATTGAAAATATTTTATTTATACACTTTTCATACAATACTATGCATTTATTAATTTATTTATTTAGATTATGGTTGTCCGTCTCCAATTGCATAGTTAAAAAAAGATTTAAACGAGACTAGCACAAGCTAATATATATATACATATATATATTCTAGGGGAGAGAGTAGAATATTCTAAACGTTGAATTTTGATGTCGCATATTTAGAAGGTCCAAAGCATATAATAAATAAATTAAGATTGCTTTGTCTTTTTTACCGTAAACAATTCGACGTGTAGTTTGGCTATTCGATGAGTAGTTTGGTAAGAACTTATATTATGAGCCTCGATGCCCTCGCTTGGAAAATGTCACCTTTTGAATTTGATTGTGTGGAAGGAGAAAAAATGAAAGTCTATAATTTTATGTCCCCACTAATAAAAATAAATTGGCCATCTGGCCTTCTTTTTTCAAACAAATTCTCTTCTTTTGAATTGATGGCGGGTTAATGTGAAGTTTAAAAAGTCACGTCGTTAAACTCAGGGAAACTTTTGAAGGGACGACCCATTACACCGAACTGGTTTTGGATTAGTGGATCATTCTAAACTGTTTGATCAAGCTTTTAGGGTCGACCAAAATTGTAACGCGTCATGTCTAGGATAGATCAAGATTTGTAATCCAGATTCGATACCTGATGGCTCTGAATCTTGGACATGAGACGATACAAATTGTATTAGAGCAGTATCTCTCCCAGTAAGATGTGGTTTGAAAACGAACTAATGTGAAAGTTGGTAGGTATGTGACACCCGAGCAAATGAGGGGTACATGAATGAATCGAAACCACTTCCAAACGAGAGGGATCGTGAGGATATGATAGCTAAGAAATACTTTAGAACATGGATAGTCACTCCATATACCAATAAGGTTCATTTTCCTTTTCGACAGCACAATTATAAGAACTTCACGGTTAGGTATGTTTTGCTTGGAGCAATTCTATGATGCACGTAACCTGTGGAGAATTTTTCTAGGACGCATGTGAGCAAGGAAAAAAACATGCAGGAAGAACTCGAGTTAGTTCGTGGGAATAGCTTTCACTCTTAGAAACAAAGAGTAGGCAACGTGACCATGTCAAATCCTAGACATGAGTCGTTACAAAGGTTTGGGAGTCACACTCACTCATGGTCAAACAAATTCACTGTCGATCCAACGTACTAATATAGTTACATAAGCAAAGTAAAAAGTAATATAATCCAAAAAATGTATAAACAACCTACGTACCATAATTAAAAATTTTAATACTACTCGTAATTCAACACTACGAACCTAATAGCCATTTGGTTTCAAATTCCTCCCATAATTCTTCATTAATCATAAATTTTTACATGCTTATCACAACCTTCCCTTTTAGTCATTTGGGTTTTAGTATTGAAAGTAGATGAGCAGTTCATTTTTACCTCAAACCTTTTCTTGATGAAACCAACTATTTTGACCCTTCCTGGCATTTTCGTGTGCCTACTGATATTCAAACCTCCCGACTTCAAATCCTCCATCAAACTCAGACCCTCATCCATTTCCTCCGCCTCGATCTCCACCGTCACATTCGTCGCCATCGTGTCCTTTGCCTTCGTCAATCCGCCGGCGTCTCCCCCTCTCCAATCACCTCGCCGTGGTAGTAAATCACTGTCGTGGCTTTTGAGTATTTGAGCGATGCGACATTAGGATTCCGCACGAAGAAACTAGCCACAACGAGTATGCCACCGTCTGAGAAGGAAGAATGGTGAGTTTTAAATGATTATTAAGATAATTAGATGAAAGTTTTGGTGTTATGGATCACTCATGGACTAAAGATAGTACCCCCAACACTTAAACAAATGCTTCCACTTAATCGAGAGAGTGAATCAAGGTTAATCGGTTGCTTCTCAATCTAACCCTCCATTATAACAAATCAAACATTTATATATTTCTTTAGTTAGAATTTGAAACTAAAGCTCGTTTCTTGTGGATCCAAATTCTAAAGCACCAATACCATACATAATGCTACATCCCGTATCAGGGCAATGTGTCAAATCCGAGGATAAAGGAGAAGTTTAACTCGGCGATTGTGCCACTCCGAACCAATGGAACCATAGTGCAGATGCAAGTCCGAAGAAGTTGTTGTCCTACGGGCAGCGCTTGAAATCCGTCGGAGATGGAAAAGCACCGGTGGTATCCGACGAATTCTCTGGTGATGGAAGCAATTGGACGGTGGCTTCGAAAGCAAATCTCCAATTTGCGAAGACCATTTTTGCTTGGAGAAGGAATCTGGTACTTCAGTTGTTGTGAAGAAATGCATTTGCTTTAAAGACGAGGGAAGTTGCATGGATGATCCTCAACCCCAACGGTTCAAACTTGTTCCAACAAATGTTGCTTGGTTTATTAATTAGTTTAAAATGGGAATTGAGAATTTGGTCCAATATACTAGTAGTTGTTGGAATTTGAATTTAGTGTTGGCAGGCAAGTTTTGAAAATGCCGGAGTCATATTAGGGTTGTCGATTTTATGCTTAAATTCGTAGTTAAAGGGTCAATAATTTTTTTCTATTGTTTATTATATGTCCAATCTTTTATACGATCATTATTGTTCGTATTATTTTCCGTATATGTTTGTACGATAAATAAAATCGATTATAATTAAGCACGAGCATGAATAGAATTAGAGATAAAATAGGGGCCAATTCAAAGTCGGGCATGCCATATATTTATTCTTCCCAATACATAAGCAACTCACAATGTGTTGGTTTCAACGAGTTCAAACCATTGACTTTGGGTGTCTTCGAGGCAAGTTGGAGCACCATCAGTGCAAATACAAGAGTTTGTCACAATTTTTGAAGAATTAGAGTTTTCAACCTGCAAGCAAAGGCTCTTCCCATCTTGAGTTATGGTGGCCAAATGAAGCTTAGTGTTTGAAATGGCTCTCCAAGAACTCTGAGGGCCGAAGCAATCTGTTGAGAGAGATGGCATAAGGCCTTCTCCGCTTGTTTTTAAGCATAAACCAGTGCTTGACATCCTAATTGGAGTGCTATCATTGTCATGAGTCCATCGACCTGAGTTGGAGCAATTACCCATGAACATATCTTTTTTGTCATTTGAGACTTGGATGCATTGGCCACTTTGTGGATGATATATAACATACGAGAACGATGCATTGGAATTTGGATCTGTGCGCCGTAAAAAAATGTCTTTTACACTTGTTATAGATCCATATATTCAAAATCGTTAATATATTTATACTTACCTTGCAACATAGTCTGCAATAGTTGAAACTTCCGGACAAAGTTTGGATTTTTAATTTGAGTCCAATTGGAGTCGAGAACTCCAAAAGTTTCTGCCGGGCCTGCCTGACCTTCCCTATAATAATAGCTACCTGGCCAAGTCCATAATGCCCAATCTAAATCTTCTTGTGCAAGATGAGCTGTGAAGCAACTCATGAACCGATTTTCTGCATCGTTAACCTCTCTCTGATCGTACCCATATTCGCTGACAAACAAAGGAAATGGGTTTGGTCCTTCTCTAACAAATTCAGCGTGGTCTACAAAGCCATTGATAATATCTGCACAAATATTATTTAGTGGCTGGTTTATAAATTTACTCTCTGCATCTCCACTGAACGAATACAAGTGCACCTCAAAAACCAACTTGTTTTCTAAGGCGCTTGCATTCAAGGGCTTCTCTTTTAAGCATCGAAGATCATTATCAAAATTTAGGCCCGAAACAATCACTAAAACATTTGGGTTAATGTTGTGGATTGTTGTTACTCCTTGAGTAACATAATTGTTCCAATCATTTGCATTTTCATTGGTTCCTCGTATCTCGTTTCGTAGGCTCATTCCAACCACCTAAATGTCATAACAAAAGAATGTTCTTTTGTTAGTGAAAAATTATAGAAGTCTTTAAATGTTTGAGTTTAGTTTCAAGAGTGTGAGAATTTTCCTTAATTTTTACGTACCGTTGGTTTCTTGGAAAAGCGTTGAGCAACTAAGCTAAGACCTTGTAGCCATTCTTGAGGGTCAAAATAGCGGTCTCCAAAAAATCCATTGCCATCGTCAAGGGAGCAACACCATCTTGGCTGACTCATATGGTTGTCGGCAATCACCATTAAACCACTCTCTCCAAGCACATCAACAACAGCTTCATAGGCTTCAGCAATAGTCTTGTTCAACACAAAAGGATTATATTGAGCCAATCCGGCTTTTGCTTGCTCTAAATCGAGAAGGTCAAAATTCTCTTCAACTGTCCTATTTGCATAACGAGTGAACATTTGAGTTGCATACGTGAGTCGTACACAATTAAACCTCAACTTGATTGCCTCATCTGCCAGCTCTTTTAATGGCCTGTGGTTGAGACCTTCTATTAGCATGCTCTATGTGTGGGAAGGCCAATTCACGCACACAAGCTTCACTCGACGCCCTGTTGTCGAATCAACGATCCACCTTCCGTTTGTTGACAACGGTAAAGAATAAACAGAAGGAGGTAGAAGCACAAACAATGCTAGAAAAAGAACAACTTGAAAAGTTCTTCCCATTTTTTCTTCTCTTTTATGAATCGGGGTGAGAGAAGCATAGCCCAAAGGTTGCTTATATATCTCATTAATAGGTTGAAATTTGTTCAAAAGATCAAAGATCCATGTAACCGTGAAACTCCTTCCATTTTTCTTAATTCAGTTGCTTTGTTAATAAATTGTGTTTCCACCTTTGATAATTTGTTGAGTAATAAGCAAATTTTTCTAACAAAGCTAGCAACGTTCATACATATCTTGCCCACAGAACCAATATTTTAACATTATGGCCCCTTTTTCTTAAGTAAAACTCGAAGCTTATTCCTGTCTCAAATTAAAAGTTAAAATAGTAGCTAACTACGTTTATGATAAGTTCTTATATAATACCCCCACTACATTTTTTTTGAGTTGGAGACATTTTTCCACCTAATAATTCACAAATGCATAAAATTATTTTAATAATCTAAATTAATAAAAATAAAATAGTTAACCTATCAAATTATTGAAAATATTTTATTTATACACTTTTCATACAATACTATGCATTTATTAATTTATTTATTTAGATTATGGTTGTCCGTCTCCAATTGCATAGTTAAAAAAAGATTTAAACGAGACTAGCACAAGCTAATATATATATACATATATATATTCTAGGGGAGAGAGTAGAATATTCTAAACGTTGAATTTTGATGTCGCATATTTAGAAGGTCCAAAGCATATAATAAATAAATTAAGATTGCTTTGTCTTTTTTACCGTAAACAATTCGACGTGTAGTTTGGCTATTCGATGAGTAGTTTGGTAAGAACTTATATTATGAGCCTCGATGCCCTCGCTTGGAAAATGTCACCTTTTGAATTTGATTGTGTGGAAGGAGAAAAAATGAAAGTCTATAATTTTATGTCCCCACTAATAAAAATAAATTGGCCATCTGGCCTTCTTTTTTCAAACAAATTCTCTTCTTTTGAATTGATGGCGGGTTAATGTGAAGTTTAAAAAGTCACGTCGTTAAACTCAGGGAAACTTTTGAAGGGACGACCCATTACACCGAACTGGTTTTGGATTAGTGGATCATTCTAAACTGTTTGATCAAGCTTTTAGGGTCGACCAAAATTGTAACGCGTCATGTCTAGGATAGATCAAGATTTGTAATCCAGATTCGATACCTGATGGCTCTGAATCTTGGACATGAGACGATACAAATTGTATTAGAGCAGTATCTCTCCCAGTAAGATGTGGTTTGAAAACGAACTAATGTGAAAGTTGGTAGGTATGTGACACCCGAGCAAATGAGGGGTACATGAATGAATCGAAACCACTTCCAAACGAGAGGGATCGTGAGGATATGATAGCTAAGAAATACTTTAGAACATGGATAGTCACTCCATATACCAATAAGGTTCATTTTCCTTTTCGACAGCACAATTATAAGAACTTCACGGTTAGGTATGTTTTGCTTGGAGCAATTCTATGATGCACGTAACCTGTGGAGAATTTTTCTAGGACGCATGTGAGCAAGGAAAAAAACATGCAGGAAGAACTCGAGTTAGTTCGTGGGAATAGCTTTCACTCTTAGAAACAAAGAGTAGGCAACGTGACCATGTCAAATCCTAGACATGAGTCGTTACAAAGGTTTGGGAGTCACACTCACTCATGGTCAAACAAATTCACTGTCGATCCAACGTACTAATATAGTTACATAAGCAAAGTAAAAAGTAATATAATCCAAAAAATGTATAAACAACCTACGTACCATAATTAAAAATTTTAATACTACTCGTAATTCAACACTACGAACCTAATAGCCATTTGGTTTCAAATTCCTCCCATAATTCTTCATTAATCATAAATTTTTACATGCTTATCACAACCTTCCCTTTTAGTCATTTGGGTTTTAGTATTGAAAGTAGATGAGCAGTTCATTTTTACCTCAAACCTTTTCTTGATGAAACCAACTATTTTGACCCTTCCTGGCATTTTCGTGTGCCTACTGATATTCAAACCTCCCGACTTCAAATCCTCCATCAAACTCAGACCCTCATCCATTTCCTCCGCCTCGATCTCCACCGTCACATTCGTCGCCATCGTGTCCTTTGCCTTCGTCAATCCGCCGGCGTCTCCCCCTCTCCAATCACCTCGCCGTGGTAGTAAATCACCGTCGTGGCTTTTGAGTATTTGAGCGATGCGACATTAGGATTCCGCACGAAGAAACTAGCCACAACGAGTATGCCACCGTCTGAGAAGGAAGAATGGTGAGTTTTAAATGATTATTAAGATAATTAGATGAAAGTTTTGGTGTTATGGATCACTCATGGACTAAAGATAGTACCCCCAACACTTAAACAAATGCTTCCACTTAATCGAGAGAGTGAATCAAGGTTAATTGGTTGCTTCTCAATCTAACCCTCCATTATAACAAATCAAACATTTATATATTTCTTTAGTTAGAATTTGAAACTAAAGCTCGTTTCTTGCGGATCCAAATTCTAAAGCACCAATACCATACATAATGCTACATCCCGTATCAGGGCAATGTGTCAAATCCGAGGATAAAGGAGAAGTTTAACTCGGCGATTGTGCCACTCCGAACCAATGGAACCATAGTGCAGATGCAAGTCCGATGAAGTTGTTGTCCTACGGGCAGCGTTTGAAATCCGTCGGAGATGGAAAAGCACCGGTGGTATCCGACGAATGCTCTGGTGATGGAAGCAATTGGACGGTGGCTTCGAAAGCAAATCTCCAATTGGCGAAGACCATTTTTGCTTGGAGAAGGAATCTGGTACTTCAGTTGTTGTGAAGAAATGCATTTGCTTTAAAGACGAGGGAAGTTGCATGGATGATCCTCAACCCCAACGGTTCAAACTTGTTCCAACAAATGTTGCTTGGTTTATTAATTAGTTTAAAATGGGAATTGAGAATTTGGTCCAATATACTAGTAGTTGTTGGAATTTGAATTTAGTGTTGGCAGGCAAGTTTTGAAAATGCCGGAGTCATATTAGGGTTGTCGATTTTATGCTTAAATTCGTAGTTAAATGGTCAATAATTTTTTTCTATTGTTTATTATATGTCCAATCTTTTATACGATCATTATTGTTCGTATTATTTTCCGTATATGTTTGTACGATAAATAAAATCGGTTATAATTAAGCACGAGCATGAATAGAATTAGAGATAAAATAGGGGCCAATTCAAAGTCGGGCATGTCATATATTTATTCTTCCCAATACATAAGCAACTCACAATGTGTTGGTTTCAACGAGTTCAAACCATTGACTTTGGGTGTCTTCGAGGCAAGTTGGAGCACCATCAGTGCAAATACAAGAGTTTGTCACAATTTTTGAAGAATTAGAGTTTTCAACCTGCAAGCAAAGGCTCTTCCCATCTTGAGTTATGGTGGCCAAATGAAGCTTAGTGTTTGAAATGGCTCTCCAAGAACTCTGAGGGCCGAAGCAATCTGTTGAGAGAGATGGCATAAGGCCTTCTCCGCTTGTTTTTAAGCATAAACCAGTGCTTGACATCCTAATTGGAGTGCTATCATTGTCATGAGTCCATCGACCTGAGTTGGAGCAATTACCCATGAACATATCTTTGTTGTCATTTGAGACTTGGATGCATTGGCCACTTTGTGGATGATATATAACATACGAGAACGATGCATTGGAATTTGGATCTGTGCGCCGTAAAAAAATGTCTTTTACACTTGTTATAGATCCATATATTCAAAATCGTTAATATATTTATACTTACCTTGCAACATAGTCTGCAATAGTTGAAACTTCTGGACAAAGTTTGGATTTTTAATTTGAGTCCAATTGGAGTCGAGAACTCCAAAAGTTTCTGCCAGGCCTGCCTGACCTTCCCTATAATAATAGCTACCTTGCCAAGTCCATAATGCCCAATCTAAATCTTCTTGTGCAAGATGAGCTGTGAAGCAACTCATGAACCGATTTTCTGCATCGTTAACCTCTCTCTGATCGTACCCATATTCGCTGACAAACAAAGGAAATGGGTTTGGTCCTTCTCTAACAAATTCAGCATGGTCTACAAAGCCATTAATAATATCTGCACAAATATTATTTAGTGGCTGGTTTATAAATTTACTCTCTGCATCTCCACTGAACGAATACAAGTGCACCTCAAAAACCAACTTGTTGTCTAAGGCGCTTGCATTCAAGGGCTTCTCTTTTAAACATCGAAGAACATTATCAAAATTTAGGCCCGAAACAATCACTAAAACATTTGGGTTAATGTTGTGGATTGTTGTTACTCCTTGAGTAACATAATTGTTCCAATCATTTGCATTTTCATTGGTTCCTCGTATCTCGTTTCGTAGGCTCATTCCAACCACCTAAATGTCATAACAAAAGAATGTTCTTTTGTTAGTGAAAAATTATAGAAGTCTTTAAATGTTTGAGTTTAGTTTCAAGAGTGTGAGAATTTTCCTTAATTTTTACGTACCGTTGGTTTCTTGGAAAAGCGTTGAGCAACTAAGCTAAGACCTTGTAGCCATTCTTGAGGGTCAAAATAGCGGTCTCCAAAAAATCCATTGCCATCGTCAAGGGAGCAACACCATCTTGGCTGACTCATATGGTTGTCGGCAATCACCATTAAACCACTCTCTCCAAGCACATCAACAACAGCTTCATAGGCTTCAGCAATAGTCTTGTTCAACACAAAAGGATTATATTGAGCCAATCCGGCTTTTGCTTGCTCTAAATCGAGAAGGTCAAAATTCTCTTCAACTGTCCTATTTGCATAACGAGTGAACATTTGAGTTGCATACGTGAGTCGTACACAATTAAACCTCAACTTGATTGCCTCATCTGCCAGCTCTTTTAATGGCCTGTGGTTGAGACCTTCTATTAGCATGCTCTGTGTGTGGGAAGGCCAATTCACGCACACAAGCTTCACTCGACGCCCTGTTGTCGAATCAACGATCCACCTTCCGTTTGTTGACAACGGTAAAGAATAAACAGAAGGAGGTAGAAGCACAAACAATGCTAGAAAAAGAACAACTTGAAAAGTTCTTCCCATTTTTTCTTCTCTTTTATGAATCGGGGTGAGAGAAGCATAGCCCAAAGGTTGCTTATATATCTCATTAATAGGTTGAAATTTGTTCAAAAGATCAAAGATCCATGTAACCGTGAAACTCCTTCCATTTTTCTTAATTCAGTTGCTTTGTTAATAAATTGTGTTTCCACCTTTGATAATTTGTTGAGTAATAAGCAAATTTTTCTAACAAAGCTAGCAACGTTCATACATATCTTGCCCACAGAACCAATATTTTAACATTATGGCCCCTTTTTCTTAAGTAAAACTCGAAGCTTATTCCTGTCTCAAATTAAAAGTTAAAATAGTAGCTAACTACGTTTATGATAAGTTCTTATATAATACCCCCACTACATTTTTTTTGAGTTGGAGACATTTTTCCACCTAATAATTCACAAATGCATAAAATTATTTTAATAATCTAAATTAATAAAAATAAAATAGTTAACCTATCAAATTATTGAAAATATTTTATTTATACACTTTTCATACAATACTATGCATTTATTAATTTATTTATTTAGATTATGGTTGTCCGTCTCCAATTGCATAGTTAAAAAAAGATTTAAACGAGACTAGCACAAGCTAATATATATATACATATATATATTCTAGGGGAGAGAGTAGAATATTCTAAACGTTGAATTTTGATGTCGCATATTTAGAAGGTCCAAAGCATATAATAAATAAATTAAGATTGCTTTGTCTTTTTTACCGTAAACAATTCGACGTGTAGTTTGGCTATTCGATGAGTAGTTTGGTAAGAACTTATATTATGAGCCTCGATGCCCTCGCTTGGAAAATGTCACCTTTTGAATTTGATTGTGTGGAAGGAGAAAAAATGAAAGTCTATAATTTTATGTCCCCACTAATAAAAATAAATTGGCCATCTGGCCTTCTTTTTTCAAACAAATTCTCTTCTTTTGAATTGATGGCGGGTTAATGTGAAGTTTAAAAAGTCACGTCGTTAAACTCAGGGAAACTTTTGAAGGGACGACCCATTACACCGAACTGGTTTTGGATTAGTGGATCATTCTAAACTGTTTGATCAAGCTTTTAGGGTCGACCAAAATTGTAACGCGTCATGTCTAGGATAGATCAAGATTTGTAATCCAGATTCGATACCTGATGGCTCTGAATCTTGGACATGAGACGATACAAATTGTATTAGAGCAGTATCTCTCCCAGTAAGATGTGGTTTGAAAACGAACTAATGTGAAAGTTGGTAGGTATGTGACACCCGAGCAAATGAGGGGTACATGAATGAATCGAAACCACTTCCAAACGAGAGGGATCGTGAGGATATGATAGCTAAGAAATACTTTAGAACATGGATAGTCACTCCATATACCAATAAGGTTCATTTTCCTTTTCGACAGCACAATTATAAGAACTTCACGGTTAGGTATGTTTTGCTTGGAGCAATTCTATGATGCACGTAACCTGTGGAGAATTTTTCTAGGACGCATGTGAGCAAGGAAAAAAACATGCAGGAAGAACTCGAGTTAGTTCGTGGGAATAGCTTTCACTCTTAGAAACAAAGAGTAGGCAACGTGACCATGTCAAATCCTAGACATGAGTCGTTACAAAGGTTTGGGAGTCACACTCACTCATGGTCAAACAAATTCACTGTCGATCCAACGTACTAATATAGTTACATAAGCAAAGTAAAAAGTAATATAATCAAAAAAATGTATAAACAACCTACGTACCATAATTAAAAATTTTAATACTACTCGTAATTCAACACTACGAACCTAATAGCCATTTGTTTTCAAATTCCTCCCATAATTCTTCATTAATCATAAATTTTTACATGCTTATCACACCCTTCCCTTTTAGTCATTTGGGTTTTAGTATTGAAAGTAGATGAGCAGTTCATTTTTACCTCAAACCTTTTCTTGATGAAACCAACTATTTTGACCCTTCCTGGCATTTTCGTGTGCCTACTGATATTCAAACCTCCCGACTTCAAATCCTCCATCAAACTCAGACCCTCATCCATTTCCTTCGCCTCGATCTCCACCGTCACATTCGTCGCCATCGTGTCCTTTGCCTTCGTCAATCCGCCGGCGTCTCCCCCTCTCCAATCACCTCGCCGTGGTAGTAAATCACCGTCGTGGCTTTTGAGTATTTGAGCGATGCGACATTAGGATTCCGCACGAAGAAACTAGCCACAACGAGTATGCCACCGTCTGAGAAGGAAAAATGGTGAGTTTTAAATGATTATTAAGATAATTAGATGAAAGTTTTGGTGTTATGGATCACTCATGGACTAAAGATAGTACCCCCAACACTTAAACAAATGCTTCCACTTAATCGAGAGAGTGAATCAAGGTTAATTGGTTGCTTCTCAATCTAACCCTCCATTATAACAAATCAAACATTTATATATTTCTTTAGTTAGAATTTGAAACTAAAGCTCGTTTCTTGCGGATCCAAATTCTAAAGCACCAATACCATACATAATGCTACATCCCGTATCAGGGCAATGTGTCAAATCCGAGGATAAAGGAGAAGTTTAACTCGGCGATTCTGCCACTCCGAACCAATGGAACCATAGTGCAGATGCAAGTCCGATGAAGTTGTTGTCCTACGGGCAGCGTTTGAAATCTGTCGGAGATGGAAAAGCACCGGTGGTATCCGACGAATGCTCTGGTGATGGAAGCAATTGGACGGTGGCTTCGAAAGCAAATCTCCAATTGGCGAACAAAATTGGCGAAGACCATTTTTGCTTGGAGAAGGAATCTGGTACTTCAGTTGTTGTGAAGAAATGCATTTGCTTTAAAGACGAGGGAAGTTTCATGGATGATCCTCAACCCCAACGGTTCAAACTTGTTCCAACAAATGTTTCTTGGTTTATTAATTAGTTTAAAATGGGAATTCAGAATTTGGTCCAATATACTAGTAGTTGTTGGAATTTGAATTTAGTGTTGGCAGATAAGTTTTGAAAATGCCGGAGTCATATTAGGGTTGTCGATTTTGTGCTTAAATTCGTAGTTAAATGGTCAATAATTTTTTTCTATTGTTTATTATATGTCCAATCTTTTATATGATCATTATTGTTCGTATTATTTTTCGTATATGTTTGTACGATAAATAAAATCGGTTATAATTAAGCACGAGCATGAATAGAATTAGAGATAAAATAGGGGCCAATTCAAAGTCGGGCATGTCATATATTTATTCTTCCCAATACATAAGCAACTCACAATGTGTTGGTTTCAACGAGTTCAAACCATTGACTTTGGGTGTCTTGGAGGCAAGTTGGAGCACCATCAGTGCAAATACAAGAGTTTGTCACAATTTTTGAAGAATTAGAGTTTTCAACCTGCAAGCAAAGGCTCTTCCCATCTTGAGTTATGGTGGCCAAATGAAGCTTAGTGTTTGAAATGGTCTCCAATAACTCTGAGGGCCGAGGCAATCGGTTGAGAGAGATGACATAAGGCCTTCTCCACTTGTTTTTATGTATAAACTTGTTCCTATAGTTTCTAAACAAGATTACAAGTACTATAGAGTTCTAAATTCAAGGGCATTCTCCACCATTACCCTTCAAACTTGTTCCTAAACTTTCTAAACAAGATTACAAGTACTCTTAAGAGTTTCTTCTTCTAAATTCAAGGGCATTCTCCACCATTTCCGTTCATTTCTAAAGTTCTTTCCCTTCCCTAAGGCCATGGCCTCTATCCATATTGACCATTAGATAAAGCTTGGACTCGAACCCAGAATCGGGTGATTAGAAGTCAAATGCCTTATCCATTAGTCCATGGGCACCTTTTATTATGTGACAACTCGTATGCAAATTGAATTTTCAAGAGCATGGAGCCCATTGATTTTGTTACAAATCTCTTGAATTGGATCTTTGTTCTTAGAATAGGGATTTCTTTGGTTTCGAAGTCTTAAAACCTTGGTTCTTTGTTCTTAGCATTCTTTGTGTCTTGACATTGTTTTGGTGTGTGATAAGCTTACTAAATACATGTTCCTAAGGTGGCAACACTTTATCGGAGGCATCTAAAATATCGAGATGCATGTTGTTTACAAAATTCTTCACGAATTTGTTTTAAGAAAAATTTTAGATTAGTCTGTACAAAAATAATGACAAAGTATTCAAAAGTTTTAAATTACCAAAATACTTTTAAACTAAAAAAAATTATGAAAATATCAATTTTCAAAGAATCATACGTTCGAGATTAGCCTGTACAAAACCCTTCGATCTTCAAATTCAACTATTAGATTGAGCTCTAATTTTAACAGGATCAAGAAAACTCGAAGTAACTCAGATCCAACAACTAGATTTAAAGAAAAAAGTAGGCAAGCCTCTAATCGGAGAAGATATTTCGAAAAGAAATTTCTAAGAAATGAACTTCAAATTCAGGATGAGTTGGTGGTTTCACGGCCAATTTAAGCTTCATCTATAAAGTATTAAGTAGGAATTTTCATTTGAAACAAGAATCAAGTCTTGAAAGTTCTTTACACTTGAGTTGGAAGCTTTTAGATTATGAGTTACATTGCTCTCAAGTTTCCAAAATTAAGAGACTATGGTTCATCAAATTCCCTTAAAGAAATTCTTACAACTTTGAAATTAGCTCCCCAACAAGATTCATGATGACTCAAGAGCTGAAAACATCTTAAACACATTCCTTCAATTTGAGTTTTCATGGCTGTAGGAGGGAATAAATTTAAAATTTCAATTCGAGACTACAAGAAAATTTATCTCTCCAAGCCAACAACCAGTCACTCAATAAGAAGTTTCATGAAGACAACGAAAGCTAAAAAACCTCAAGAACAAGGAGAATCGAAGAAAAAACTTATAAGCTTCGTTTTTTTATGAATTTTAGAAAAACACCAAATTTTTCGACTGAGGTCTATTAAGCTTTAATACAAGATACCATAAGCTTCAAGAGGATGAGAGGAGAAGGTTTCATAAAGAAGTGAAGGGCTGAAGAGCTCTCGATCGAGTTTCTCAATAACCTTTAGGATCTATGAAAATGGGTTTCATGTCGAGAGAAAGAATCGAAAAATTGGGGACATATGCAATAATTCATCCTTCCAAAATCAATTCTCAAAATTGAGAGAAAGATAAGGAAGAAACCTCATGACGAGGTGAATTCTTGATCTCTAGTTCTTCCTTGAAACATGATTTTCAAGTTTCATGAAGAAATCAATGGTATGTAGAAGGTGATTTTGAGAGCAACCTCACAACAGGCCACACATTTCTTCCAGGGAAGAAGATAATGACATTGACTAGCCATGTCTGTCTTAAAATATGACACGACTTAGTTTTTTTTTTTCCAATTAAACTCAACCTAGATGGGTTCTCATAAAATTCTTTAGGGTTCTTGAAACTACACTAAAATATGGACCTACCAAAAAAAATTTGGAGCAATTCAGATACCCGAAGCTCAAGGACCAAGGACCCGAATGAAATACATATAACAATCAATATGAATGCAATATGAATGCAATATGAACCTTAAGTAATTTAAATTTAAATTAATATAGAAGAAAACAATATAGAACAAAGAGTTAAGAACCTAAACCATACATTTTGCTCGAGAATCTAATAATGTTAAAATAACATATCAAACGAACTTTGTTAACCATGAAATTTTAATGGTAGGCATAATAAGATATATTAGGGTTATATATGAAATTTGGTGATTATTGGTTAAGGATAGGTAGCTTATCCAAAATACCCCTAAAGATCTTTAAAATATTTTTTCAAGCTGACTTCAGTTTTCATTAAGGTTTATTTTTATCAAAGATTTTACAAAGTTTGGAAGGGCTAAGAACCAAAACCAAGGAATATAGATAAATTACCAAAATACCCTTATAAAGACGACCTTAAGAAGTTTGTATGACCCTAATGATTTTTCAAGCTTATAAATTACTTATGTACAACCTTAAGAAGGATTTTACAAAATCTCGAAGATTTTAGAAAAAGTTAGGTGTATAAGCCAAGGCCGGTGAGAAATGATAGTCAAGGAATATGATCCCTAACCAAGATTTAAGATCCTTCTAGAATAGTCAAGGAACACGTAATTTTATGACAAACTTATGCATGTTATTATGAAAGGTTCATGACATAAGGAAAAGGATTAGAATTCCCCTATCTAATAAAATTAAGAATTATGTAATCGAATGAATCCCTTAAATACCTTAAAGGTTATTAAATACCATCACCCTAGTGTGTTATAAGATTATGTTATGCATAGGGTTCGACCTTAATTTTTAACCAATCGAGAGGCTACCCTATGTCAAGATGAGCTCTATATTCATCCTTGATTTTTAAGAAATTAGGATGATACTCGTGATAAGTTTTAGGATAGCTTTTGGTTATTAAGTAACCAGCGTACTACCTTACTCAAGAAGAGCTCAAAGATTTGCACTTGATTGTTAAGCAGTGAGGACGTTATCTAGGTAAACCTTAAGAATAGTCATTGGTTTTTAAGCAACCAGGGGATTACCCTAATCTAAATTTACCTAAAGGACAGTCCTTGGTTTTTAAGCAACCAGATGATTACCCTAATCCAAGAGGATCTCAAAGTGAGCACTTTACTTTAAATAATTAGAAGGCTAGCTCTTGATTTTTAAGTAATCTAGATGCTCCCCTAAATAAGAATGAGCATGAGACTTTGACTGTTAAGTAATTAGGAGGTTGCCTTAATAACATGTATTTATTAAGCTTATCACACACCAAAACAATGTCAAGACACAAAGAAGGCTAAGAACAAAGAACCAAGGTTTTAAGACTTCGAAACCAAAGAAACCCCTATGCTAAGAACAAAGGTCCAATTGAGAGATTTGTAACAAAATCAATGGGCTCCATGTTTGGGGGAAAAATCTTATAGTAAATTCTTGAAAATTCAATTTGAATACGAGTGGTCGTATAATGGATAAGGCGCCTTACTTCTAATCAAGTGATTGTGGATTCAAATCCCCCTGGGCCTGTAAGTTATTCCACTTATTCCAAGAGTAAGCTATCCTATTCCAAGAGTAAGCTATCCCATGTAAGACTATAAATTAGTTTTTAGGCAAACTTTG